CACACGTATTTCTGAAGTTTTGTACTCAAGTTCAGTCTCTACTGTGTCGTATGTAGAACTAAAAGAGCCGTGCTCTTGACGTGCACTTCCTACATGGAAATTTAGAAAACAGAGACATTTGAACACTGGGAAAATGTTCTTTTCCTAAGAGTGATGCAACACGAAGAGTGGAAGGCCATGGGATTTGGAGTCAGACAAATTAAGGTTCAAACCTCAATTCCCTCCTTTATAAGTTGTATGGCCTTACCAAGTTGGTTAACTTGGCTTACTCACTGTGTCTTACACACTACTTGGGCCATAACCAGGCTCAATAAATAGTGGTAGATGCATTTATTTTCATAGCAATGGTATTATGATAATGCATTCATTTGTTTTATTGATAAGAGCCTTATCCTTAGGGTTCTGCCGCAGTTATTGAACCTAGACAGATAGCTCCAGCACCCATTGCATTAATGTTAGATTGGTCTCTAATGCTAGAACAGCTTAAATAAAATAGAAAATAAGGGATATTGGTTACACATTTTTTAATGTTATATTTTTAATTCCTGTTTTGCAGTGCCTTCTATGTTTCTCCAGGATTTTATTTATTAAAAAAAAATAATACCACTCTTTTCTTATATGTCTAGGGGTTTGCTATTATTGTTTATGAAAGTAGGAATGCTTTTTAAAATGAATTTGTTGAATTGGCACTTGGGCTTCAAATTAATATTTAAACATATTTTTAAGTTGCCCCAGAGTTTCACGATGTCCATGTCTCTCCTCCTTCTATTCCATGAGACAATCACCTACGACAAATGAGTAGGCACCGTAGCTTGAAAATAACTTCATCTCATAAAACAAAAGCACATTCACGAGGCTCACAAAATTTTAGGACACGAGTTCATCTGGAAGCTATACTACTCCATGCAGAAGGAGTCCATTTAGTAAGAGTGACATGGTCTTTAATACTATCATGTACTGAGTTTCACAGTGACCTTCACAGTGACCCAGTTGCTAGGATTCAGAATCAACTCGGTGGCAGTGAGTTTGGTTTGATTTGATATTGCATTTGCCAAGAATACGCTTTTGTTTCTAGATTTTATTTTTAATTATTGTTTTTAGTAAGCTTCATTATGACATATGATGAGAATCTACCACAAGCTCATTATACCACTGCTAAACATTAGAACCTTTGGACTTAATATGTAATAGAGAATTTGTTACAAGGCCTTAGGTGTTATTGATACATGAATCTGACATGTATTTGTATATTTGTGTGTCCAGAAATATGCTCCCTACTAGTTTTACATTTAGCAAAGATTTTTCAGGCTGAACTGTAAATCTGTCCCATTGGTATAAGTTCCTTCTGAGATGTTTTAGTATATTCTTGATTTTTTGACATGCTTTGATTCTAGATAAAAATTAAGACCAGTGAATTATAGGTGTTTTTTTAAGAGTTTGTTAGTACTGCAAAAACTAGATGGGTACTAAAATTAAATTTATATTTTTAAATTACCAAATACCTTAAGTCTAAATTGTGAAATTTTCTATGTACAAATTGCATTACCTGTACATTATAGGCTATGAGTCCATATTAGATTTTGAGTTTCTCATTTATACTGTCTATAAGTTATTTTTAAAATAACAATAATATATAATAATTATTAATGCTATTATATAAAGAACCAGCTTTAATTTTCATGTCAGTTCTGTCATATATCTTTTCAAAATGTCTGTTCTTATGAAGTAAATAGTTCAGTCAAAATAAGGAATGATAATATTGAATGGTTCCAAAATTTTCTAAATGCAAATAAAATATTACCTCCTGCATGATAACTGCAGTAAACAGTATGCATATGCTTAACTGTGCTGTTTCGGCTTTTTCTCTGTGTAGAGCAATTCCTTCCAACTCTGGACCCCACTGTCCTTGGTGAAAACCACTTCGATAGAATCTCCCAGATGCTTCATGTTTTGGTTAAAGGAACCATACCGGTGGAAATCCACACCACTGCAGTCATATTTCTTTCTTTCCAACTCCCTGCTGTAACCGAAGATGACTTCTATAATTCCCATAATCTGGTTCGAAATCTTGCCTTGTTCCTAAAGATACCAAGTGACAAAATCCGTGTCAGCAACGTAATACGAGAGACGAGTCTGCGGAGCAAGAGATCCACGGGACTCACGATCGAATTAGAAATTGGAGACCCTCCCCCTCAGTTCCTAAGCAATGACACCTCAGGTAAGAGTCATAGAGGTCTGAGACAGGAAAACGATGATCAAATTCACATCCATACAGAACCCTGTCCCTGCCTGGTGAGGCAGACCTCAGGAAATCCTCCCATTCCCACAACCTGAGCTCTGGTCGGGCCGGAGAACCTTTTCTCTACTGTAATCTCAAGTGATTTTAGCTTGGTAAAGGGATTTCCACTTGAATTTGTTCTTGTGACAATTAATAAAGAAACCCTGTGGGTTTCTGAGACTGTAACTCTTTATGGGAGTAGAAAATGACCCCCTTCCCCGAAGAATGAGGAGCAGCTCGTGGTTTCAAACTGCTGACCTGGCAGTTAGCAGCGCAATGGGTAACCACTGTGCCAACACAGCTCCTGAAGAAGAAGAAGACCCAGGAAGGCCTACCTAAGGAGGGGAGCTGAGAGCCGAAAGATTAAACTGATAAAAAGAGGAGAAGACAGAGAACTTCCAGCTGAGGTTGGAAAGAGTATGGTGCCCCTGAAGAACTGGAAAGATCCAAGGGTCTGGACTGGACAGCCAGGGGGCAAGCTGCTGCAAACAAGTGTGACCGGTCCACAGGTCCCACAGGCTGGAGAGGTTTGTAATCCAAAAGAACTGTGGATGTTTTCTGAGAGGTAGACCTTGGGAGATGCTGAGCAGTGGAGCGGTGGGGTAGATATCCACAGTGAAGAGGTGCAAAGAACATGTTCTTCAATTCTAATAATGGATTCAGTCATCTTCACTAGCACTACCTGCCCAGTGTGTTCACTTCCCATGCCCCCTATTTTTATCAGAAATAAGCCAGACTATCCCATCACCAATGGTGTAAATAATTTCCCTAGAATACCTCCTTGTGGGTATTCGGGTCAATGCTCAGCTGTTCAGATTCTAGCTCTCCTCTATTCTCCATCTACAAAAGGCTTTTCTGAGCAGACCCACAGGTTTACCAGTTCTCATCAGACCCTCTGCTCTGCGTGAGTGTCTCCTGAGGTACAATGGAACTTCACAACCTTCTGGCTCACAGTAACCTCTGATGGCCACTCCCAACGATGCTGTTATCCCTGCTGGTCAAGATTCCCACAGTTACCCTTACCTAGGCATACCCTCTTCAAGAAAATGAAACAGGTTTCTGTCAGAGGAAGATTGGCCACCCTCCTAATGAAACTTAACTTCAAGGTCCCTGACAGGCACCATATTTATTTATGTATTTATTTTTAAATCCTAGAAGGGGTCCTGAAAATGTTGAACCTCCAGATGTTTTTTTAAAGGTAGCAAAAATAAGAAGTTTCTGAATTATTTTCCTTTTGGACAGCATCCAAAATTGTTTAAATCTGTAGACTTCACAAAATTAGAAGTTGCCCTATCTCTGCCCAGTATCTTTTCCACTAAACTCTCAGACTTTCTTAAGGGAAGGCACCCTGGTGGCCATGTGGGTACGCACTTGACTGCTAATCATGAAGTCAGAGGTTCCAAACTACTAGCAGCTCCACGGGAGAAAGATGTGGATGCCTGCTTCCACTATGATTCTAGCCTTGAGAATTCAGAGATAGTTCTGCTTTGTCTTACAAGGTCAATATGAGTTGGAGTTTGACTCAATGGCGGTGAGCCTGAATTGTGTTTTTTGTTTTGTTTTGATTTTCTCTTACAAGGTGGGCTGCAATGCACATGGTTGACAGTTTGAAACCACCAGCAATTTCACGGGAGAAAGCCTGGGTTTTCTACTCCTATATACAGTTCCAGTCTGGGAAACCCACAGGGGGATCCCTAGAAGTCAGCATTGACTCAATGGCCAGGAAGTCTGGTGTGGTGTGCATAAACTTGAGTACTGGATGAAGTTCTCACCTTCTGCCACTAACGGGTCATCACGCATATTCCCAGCAAGTTTGCATCTGAAACCATTAACCTTGTGAGCCCTGAGCCCTGCCCCAACTTTCTGGATCCTATCAGTTCTTTAGGAAGAAGGTCCTACCCTTGAGGAGATAAGCCTGTAGAAAGACCTGCCTGTGTGGGGGAGTTACTGATCACACTGTTTACAGAAACTGGAAAAGTAGATCAGATCTCCCACTATGTTCTCTGCCCAGTTTCATAGTTTGTTTTCTTGCACCAGCCCTGAGTTTCCTTGCACTTACAGGATCAGCGCTTTGAACTCAACATTGGCTATCTTCCCATTAATGTAGTCTATGAGTTGTAATGGCACACAGATTACCCAAAGACTTGTAGAAATCACTGGTCAGCTGGCAAATGTAACAGGGTCCAAAATTTACCACACTAGCCATTCGATGTCCAAAGTAACATGGCTTGTTTTCTATTTGTGACCGACATTTCTTCATACTCAATTTATCTCAGCCCTTATTCTCAATTTGCTAGTCTAGTTAGAGAACAGGGGCAGAGAAGAGGGGATGGTTAATAGTAAATATTTCCCAGATATAGACTGGGATAGTGTTTCCCATCTTGAGGAAAGCCCCATAAATTGGCATGGGACCATATCTCAGCAGGATTACTCAGAAATGGTCAGAACGATGTGCATATAGTGGTATTCCTGTCTCCCCACAGTCTTCACATAGTGCCAGGATATCCAGAAGTCCCAAGGTATCCTAAGATGTCATTGGTGCTAAAGCAACCTCTGGATGAGGAGAGTCCTCAGGCCGGAAATAAGGGACCTTCAAGTTAAGGACCTTGGTTTCTAGGTGGAAGTCTGCAGAAACGGATGCCTTTCCATGTCAGTTGGAGACAAGAACCTGTTTACAGTGAAGACCAGATCAGGTCTGTCACTCTGCACCCAAAACCAGTGAGGACAAAGTCATCATATCAAATAGGCATAAGGCACCTTTGACCTGCTACCATGTAGGAAGGGGTGCTGGAGAGGCGAGCCATAGAGAGGGGAAGGAAACCAGACAGCCTAAGCCTTTGTCCAGCAGAACCCAGGTCATCCAAAAGAGACCTTTCAAAGTGGAAACAGATTTCCCAGGACTGTGATTTTCAAAGTGTCATGTGAGAGCCATTGCTCAGAAATAGTAGTGCCTTCTTTTCCCTAGACACACTAAGTCTCATGGCTTTGCCTGAGTGGGGGAAATTCTGTGGTCCGAGTCCTCAAGGCCTGACTCTTGAGACACAGGTCACAGGTACAAGATAGCTAAGAATGAAGGATTAGCAAGGTCTATCAAACATCAAAATGTTATTTTAGTTATAAACTTTTAAAAAATCACTCTGACTACAGTATATAAGATGGTGTGAAAGGGGGTGAGACTGGATATAAGAAAATAAATTTGGAAGTCGATTTAATAATCTAATGATGATAGCGTTGACTAGAGCTATGGCAGTGGGAACAGGGATTTAGAAATTGGTAACTGACTAGATATGATGTTGGGAGAGGTGAAGAAAAGAAGGGGCAAGGGGAGGTGTCAGGCTTCTGATGAATGAATACGGTGAACGGAACTACCAGTTCATAAGCTGAGGATCACTATGGGGTCTGCATATATGGAAGGAAGATACCAGACCTGGCAAACTAGAAAAAGAAAAACAGAAACTAGCCTTGAAACGAACCTTATAAATTGTCAAATGTCCTAAGTAAGTAGTATTTTGTTAATAACTTAATGGCAAATTTGTTTTAAATTCTGATAATCCAAATGTCATAATCCTGTTTTCCCGTAGGTCGGATGCAATTATCTGAACTCCAGGAAATAGCTGGGACCCTTGCACAGGCTGTAATCTTAGGAAAAATCAGTAGTGTCCTTGGATTTAATATTTCATCCATGTTTATTATTTATCCACTCCCAAGTCCAACTGATTCTGGATGGAATAAGGTAAGAAAATGCCACTACAAAAAAATCAGCTCTTCCCAAGTTTCTTGTTTATGAATTATTTTAACTTTTTTTCTTGCTATTTCACAACAGTGGTTTAGAGGCCTTTCTGCTGGTGCTGTGCATTAGACGATGGCCTGCTAACTGCAAGTCACCAGTTCACACTCACCAGCTGCTCTGCAGGAGAGAGATGAGGCTTTCTGTTCCCATAAAGATTTGCAGTGTCAGAAACACTATCTACATTCAGAATTGACTTCATTGGCAATCAATTTCTGTTTTGTCTTTGTTTTAACTTTTTGTTGTGAATTGGACTAATGTTTCCACAGCAGCTCCTCAGTTTGACATTCAATAATTCATGCACACTTCGTTTCAACACAGCCATGGCAGTTTGGTTTTTGTTTTGTTTCCTCATTTATCGTTGGCTGTTTTTCATGAGAATGTTCAAAGGCAATGAAGGAACTGGAAAAACCCACTACCCAACTGGCATTGAATCAATTCCTACTCACAGCAGCCCTATAGAACAGAGTAGGACTGCCTTCTAAGGTTTCCAAGGCTGTAAATCTGTAAGAGAGCAGACAGCCTCATTTTTCTCCCGTGGAGCAGCTGGTGGATCTGAACTGGTAATCTTAGACTTAGTCAATAAAAAGGACTATATATTTAAACCACTATTTTTGGTATAAAATATGCTTTGCTTTGAATATTTGTATCGATTCTTTATGAAATCCATCTAGAGTAACTATTGTTAAACAATGTTAATTTTACATATTGAACATCTATTTTAACAAACAGTGACTATTATGCTTAGCCTACCTAAGATGCATTAGCTGCTGATGACAATGTATCATGCGAAAACCCCTTCAATATTCATGTCCCATGCAGGTGACTGCCCTACCAGTTGAAAGGTCTGCGTTTCCTGTTCATCTGGTGGCCTTCGTGTCCTCGCTCTCAGTGGTCACTCAGCCAGTGGCAGCGCAGCCAGGACAGCCCTTGTCCCAGCAGCCTTCCGTAAAGGCAGTAGATTCAGATGTAAGTCAAAAGTCAGTTAAGTGAGGGAATTCAGCTACCCATTCTAGACAGTGAGTCAACTTTGTTCAGCTTGATAGTCTTGCTACTTGAGGATTACACCGCCTCTCAGAAGTTGCACAAATGCCAATAGATAGCATCTTTAAGCAATTAAATCATGTTATTGGAAATCAACTTGTTCTGCTGCTCCTATTGTGAATATTTTGTGTAAGAAAGGGGTGCTTCTTCCTATTTTAAATTTATAATGCAAGCATTTAAAAAAATATGCAACAGGGCAATTGTTATATTTCTCTTACTTTTTTCCCCCTTTAGGGTAACTGTGTATCGGTTGGGATTACTTCATTAACTTTGAAGGCCATACTAAAGGATTCCAGTAACAGTCAAATCAGTGGTCTTGGTGGAAATACAACAATTCCATTTAACAGCTGTTGGGCCAACTACACAGACTTAACTGTTCTTAGAAATGGTGAGTCTACAATTTTGCATCCTCACATATATACCCATCCATTGGGACAGTAATAAGTTTAGGACCTCAGTCCTACTCACCAAGGTAGGCTGTAGAATATTATCCCAGCAGACTGTGTTATACCAATCAACCTTGATGCCCACGGTCCTGAGTTCCCAGGCCTAGCGACTCCTTTAGTGCAGGTATATGGCATGACTAAGTTTTCATATCTTTGTTCTCTATATGAATATGGATATCCATGGTTATATTTACAGTGTATTTATATACATACATATGGAGAAATGTCCTCTGTGAAATCTGTATTTTCGTGGGTATAATTCCATTTACCATTCACCGGTTCAGCTTGAGGGTCTCTCTATGTATCCATTCATAGATTATTCTTAGTGATTGCAGGATTAGGTATGTCAGAGTACACAGTAACCACTGTTGCCTTTAACATTTGTTAACAAATGTTAACAAACTTTAACATTTGTTGTTTTCTGTGTTTTTGAACTTTGCTAATAATGCTGAGGTGAAGTTCTATTACACTGTTGCTTTGATTTGCATCTCTTATGAGCAGTGGAGCCCTGGTGGCATGGTGAGTTATGCAGAGAGTTGCTAACTACAAGGTCAGTAGTTTGAACTTTTCAGCTGGTCTTCTGGAGAAAAAGAAGGCTGTTTGCTCCTGTAAAGAAGTATAGCCTCTGAAACCCTACATCAGGTCACTAGGACTCAGAATCAACTCAGTGGTAGTGGGTTTGGTTTGGAGTTTGGAGAATAGCTAACGTTCACGAATATTTCTTCATGTATCTGCTGGTCACTTGCATGTCTGTTCATGTCCTCTACTCATTTTTTATTGGGTTGTTTGTCTTTCTGATGTTGAGGTGTTACCATTTTTTCTACATTTTAGAGATGTCCGTAGGTCCTTATCCTCTATGTCATTGCCATCGTTTCCCCTCCTTTCTTTTGGTTTTCTCTCTCCTCTTTTGAGGCACAGGAATGCTTACTTTCTAGGAGGTGCAGTCGTGCAGTTTTCCTTATGTTTGATAGTGTATTTAGGTATGCCTTATATTAGAGTTCTGAGTCATCCCTTTCTCTTTTTGTTTCTTTTAAATTATGAATTGGGATCATGATAGTTGGGGGGAGGAAACATTAAAGAACTAGAGAAAAGTTGTGTGTTTCACCCTGACTGGCTGAACTCCTCCCCGCGACACTTCTATAAGGGGATATCCAGTTGCCTATAGATGGGATTTGGGTCCCCACTCCGCACTCCCCGTCATTCACAATGATAAGATTTTTTGTTCTCTGATGCCTGATACCTGATCCCATCAACACCTCGTGATCACACAGGCTGGTGTGCTTCTTCCATGTGGGCTTTGTTGCTTCTCAGCTAGATGGTCACTTGTTTATCTTCAAGCCTTGAAGACTCTAGATGCTATATCTTTTGATAGCCGGGCAGCATCAGCTTTCTTCACCACATTTGCTTATGCACCCATTTTGTCTTCAGTGATTGTTTCAGGGAAGGTGGGCATCACAGAATTCTGGGTTATTAGAAAAGAGTGTTCTTGCATTGTGGGATTATATGAGTGGAGGTCCAATGTCTGTCTGCTGGCTTACTACTTCACAAATAAATATATGTACCTAGATCTGTTTCCCTATCATTATATATAAATGTATTTACATATGTACATGCCTGTATTTAGATTCTATAAATGTCCTTTACCTCGTAGTTCATTCCTCTATTTCCTTTTACTTTCCTTTTGTCCCACTATCATGTGTGGCCTTCATTCAGGTTTCAGTAATTCCTCTCGGCTACACTGCCCTTGATCAAGCACCCCCAGGCTTCCTATGCCCTCCTTGCCTTCAATTTTAGATCACCTATTGTTCCTTTATCCATGGGTTTGTTGCCTCTACCGCCTTCCTTTCCCCCACCTCCCCTTCTCCCATGCCCCCCCAGAACAGTCAGTCACATTGTTTTTGCCTCCAGATTGTTTATCCTGCCTATCTTATCTAGATAAACATGCAGTGACAATAATGAGCACAAAAAAGACACAGAAAACACAACAACAGAGAGGCTTGGCCAAGATGGCGACCAGATAGGTAGCTCATGCCTGCAGCTCCATGGAGATTGGTGAGTGGAGAGATCTGGGGGCCAAGTAGGGGTCTAAAGTCTGTCTGTCGATTCCCAAGACAACTCAGAGCACTTCTCTGAACCAGAAGCTGACTTCAACCCCATCACCTGCACTCTCAGTGGACTCCCAGGTAGCAGGCCCACTGGCAGCCTCTTTCGTGGTGCTCAGGCCACCCGCTCTGCCTCGACTGGTGCCACAGGCCAGCCAGGCGCACCACGGAGGCTTATACCCTGCAATCTGCCAGCCAGCATCCCCCCTCCCAGAGGTGTCTGCCCATCTGGGTGCTCCTCATAGACCTGCCAGCCAGTCCATCCCCCCAAGAGACTCGCACCCCCATGCCACAGGGAAGCCATGCATACGGCAGAGGTTTCTGCCATGCCTCAGCGCTTCGCACAGACCTGCCAGCCAGACCCACCCACACACCCAGAGGTCTCTGCCCAGAGATCCCCACCCCATCTCCGCACTCCCCACAGACCTGCCAGCCAGCTCCCTCCCCTCCCCCCACCTACACAGAGGTTCCCATCCTGCCTACGCTCCAGGCCTGCCAGGCATTGACACAAGTCTGGCAAAAGCTTCTGCAGTGCCAGCACAGGGACGCAAACCTTTGGGGCTTGCCTACTGCATTCTACCTTCTCCCGACTCAGTCTTACCCCCACCCCATCTATGGTACAGGCAGTGGATATCCCTTTTAACAGAAGTAGAGTATCCTCTATCCCACCCGCCTACCTGTGGGAAGTTCCCCTAGCCAAGAAAGAACACCCAATCCCCAAACCATCCCCGAAATACGCTCCCCTGTACTTGGGCCAACACTTTGCATCAGATAGCAATGTATACATTTACAAACAGTCCCTAAGGAGACCTGAGGGTGGTTGGAGCACAAAGCATAGGTCAAAGATAGAGGGAAACCTCATCAAGACAAAGGTGAAACACAACCCCTCAAGGCAGTTGGCTATAGGCAGCCTGCAGAAACGCCAAAACTGACCTCCCAAAGAGAGAGCCCAGGGCTCTGAGACACCTGGGAAAATGGGACCTAGTTCCAATAAATCGACCAAAAAGCAACAAGCTGCTTCCACAGCTTCAACAAAAAAAGAGAAACACAATCCAATGCCAGAGGACCACCTGGACCTAATGGCAGTCATAGAAAGGGCAGAGGTTGACCTCCCACAGAAAGAAACCTTCAGAATGCTGCTTGGAGCCATACAGGACAGAGGGAAGCTTTACAGGAAAAGGATGAAATGATAGAGGAAATAAAGGCCATGCACCTAAGGGAAATATAAAAGCTAAGAGGCAAGATAACAAAAACTAATAGCAAGCACATGGACTTTGCCCAGCAAATGGAGGAGGCAGAGAACCGCATCAGTGACCTAGAGAACTAACAAGCAGAAATTAATAAACGTGAGAAAAAGTCTAACAAGTCCATCAGAGAAGCTGAAATAAACCTCCGAGATAGGTCTGATGTTATTAGAAGGAACAACATCAGAATAATTGGATTACTAGATGAATGCACATCAAGGAAATCAATGTCCAAAATAGTGATGGAATTTTTAGAGAAAACTTACATAGCTTAATGAATGAAAACCAGGCAACCATCCAGGAGGCTGAAAGAATGGCAGTTAGATTGAATCCCAAGAAGTCACCAAGACATATAATTGTTAAACTATCCAACTATGAGGAAAAGGAGAAAATTATGAGAGCAGTTAAAGGCAAGCAGACAAGAATATGCTCAGACCCATCAGCAGACACTATGAAGAAGAGGAGAGAAAGGAGCAACATATTCTGAAAATTTCAGGAAAATAACATAAACCCAAGAATACTCTACCCAGCCAAATTATCGATCAAAGTTAATAGAGAAGTGAGGGTCTTCCTGGACAAAGAAAATCTCAAAGAATACACTAAAAGGAACACAGCACTACAAAAGGTCCTCGCTGACCCAGGATGGGCAGAAGAACAACATTCACCTGGAGCAGCAAAGTCCCCAGGGAATGCTGCAGGCAGACTGTGGGGGCAGGGCGTGGCCAGGGCCCCAACAGACTGCACTAGAAAACACTCCTAAAGGCCAACGATCCTTGAACTAACTACAAGCTTTTCTTTCTTGTTGTGTTTTAATTTGTTCTTTGTCTATGGTTTGTTGTTGCTGTTTTGTTGTACATTGTTGCTTGGTTTTGCTCTGTCTCCTTTTTGTGCATGTTATTATCTCC